CAGCTGCTGCAAATTAATAACTTCTGCCACCCTCAGCAACTATTCTGATAACAAGCCAGCAGGTGGGGGTGATGCCTTCTATAGTCAAGAAAGCTAACACTTAGGCAGAAAAACTCTTTTAAGGGAGACCAGTTTCTTGACACAGAGTTAAAAGGGATCCTAGAGGTCACCTACTCCAACCCCCTTGTTCAGTGCAGGAATTAGTCAACTACAGTACCCCACTCTGCTTAAAGAAGTGCATGCCTTTAAAAAATGTTTTTAAATGATTGGGGAAAAACATTTACAGGAGAAATTCTTATGGGGTTGTGCCTTTAAGAAAGGTGGCAGAGCCCCCAGGAGCCCCACCGTAGCTATGGGCCTGTTCACTGTGATTCTATGCATTCTGATTTTCCTCGAATGCTTGGGGGGGGGGGAGTCTGTTCTGCATGTATTTTGCTCCCTCTAGAGGTTGATTTGATATTACATCACTTTATGTCTGGCACAAACACCTGCCATTTAAATCTGCACAGAGATATGCTGGACATAAAGCATTGGGATATCGAATCGACCACTAGATGGAGGAAAACACATGCAGAACGGGGGGGGGGGGGAAAACACAATGCTGATGCAATAGGGACACACAAGCAATGAAAACAAGAGTGCGAGGGTACAGTCCCAAATCCTCAGTCCCCAGCTTTGCTCACTATCTTGTCTTTTATGAAGGAGCCTTTCCTTCCCCTTGCAGCATGTGGAGTAAATGTAATATCGGTTTCAGGATACAGGCCTTGGTACAATTTAAACCTGCCAGAACAAAAGGAGAAAGATGGAGTGAGCTGAGGATTCACCATCCTAACAACTAAATTCTGCACCTAAGCCATCCAGACTCTGCAAGAAGAAATGTTAAATTTAGGACACGTAAACGCTACGCAAATGGAGTGAATCTGCATGTCATTCTACATACTATTTTAATGTTTTTACATTACTCTGGAGTGCTAACCATGCAAAGCACTGAAACCAAATTCTACTGTGGGCGAGATTAGCGAATTAGGCACACCTGTCCTAGTCTTCAGCCTATATCCCAGACTCTGTAAATATCTGGATATTGATCAGTAACTCTGATCAATAAGACATAGCTCTAAGTCCGATGACAATAAAAATTACGACTCGTTGGTATTTATCACCGACTTGACTTCATAGAATAAGTTTGAAAAATTCCTCCTGTTGTACCAGGAAGAGTGGTCCGTTGGGTGACTTTTTCACATGTGGTGGCCTTGCCCAATCGTGTCCTTTTGTTAACAGGTTCATCAACATTTTTTTTTAAATTACAGATGTAAAATTATGGTGAAGATTACTGTTGGCACTATCCAACCATACTCGGAGAAAGTCCGTAATAATTTCCTGGCAACTTGGTTTCCACTAATCCAATTTCTGTCTGAACAGGATATTGTTTTGAATAATCCAGTTTACAAGGATAGGATTTTTTTCTAATCTTGGCCTAACCCTATATTTTCTTTCCTTCTTTTATTTTTTGTTAACATTTGGAGATTCTGATGCTGTACTTACACTTGTGTGCTGAATTTATATGTATTACCAAATAAAATTTAAAAAAGGAAAAAGGGGAAAAGAAAAATGCAAAGCACCTGCGTTTTTACATAAATTTTCCTTGTAACTTCTTGCATTCCATGGACTTTTGACATGGCTGTTTAGAAGTTCAACTCTAACCTTAACCCCATAGGCGTAATCTTCGTGGGGGCGGCGGGGCTTCAGCCCCCGCCGAAATTTTCAGGAAGCTGCTCAGCCTCCCCCGGGAGCCACCCTTGCTCCTAGCAAAGCAATGCCTCTGGCCCAGCCCCAGCCCCCCCCGGGAAATTGGAAAGTCTACACCCTTGCTTAACCCCACCTCTGCCCAGAGAGGATCAACCTCATGTATCTTTTGAGCTCTGGCCCATGAACGCTTAACAGTGTGGGGAAGTATGCCAGGAAATACGGTTCTGTAAGCAGAAGGGCCTCAGGCCATGAAGACCTTTATGGGAATACCCAGTGCAATTATGAAGTACTGGCAATATACGGATTCCAAGTGGCTGACCCCAGACAGAAGTCTCACTGCTGCGTTTTGTAGCAAGTGAAGCCTTTGAGGCACCTTCAAAGGCAGCCCCACACAGAGAGCATTTACAGTAGTCTAGTATGGAGGGTAAAGGAGCATCGATCTGTGTGGCTGGGTCAGCAGAATGTAAATAAGGAGCCAGCTTACGAGCCAGATGTAATTGAAAAAAGCCACCCATAACCACAGCGCTCCATGTTTCTATCCATCAGCAAGTAAAGACTCACTGTGGTTAACAGACCAATTCAAGATCCTGGTTTGAGGGACCCTAATGAACCATAGTTAGTGGAGCGCCCGGCCGTCAGAACCACAGGTACAGGGTTGCCAGGTCCTTCCCAGCTGCTGGCGGGGGTCGCCAGGATCTTGTCTGGGATCTTCCTGTGCATGTGCCGTGATGACGTCACCTAGAAGTGACATCAGCGGGGTGATTCTCTAGTTTTTGGGGGAAACTCTATGGTTTGAGCCCAATGTTACCATAGAGTTTTGCCCCAAAACTAGAGCATCATCCCCCCGATGCTGGCAACATGATGACATCGAGTGTTTGCCCTGCAACCCCTGCCTGTATCAGGGGCCTGGCAACCCTACACAGTTAGCATTATTAACCTAGAGTTTCTGAACTGTGTTATTGTGTCTGCCTCCACTGTCTTCCACATGCTGCTGAAGATGGAGGACCCTGAAGCAGGTGAGGATTTTTGTTGTCTGAACAGGCACTAAACTGGAATTGCAGGGATCTAGCACTGCTGCATTCGCATTTTTTGCATGTATTTATTCATTCATTCATTCATTTATATCCTCCTCACACTTCGGACTCAAAGCACCATAGAACACCCTTCTCCCCACCTCTGCTCTCCCACAACATTAACCCTGTTTGGAAGGAGAGGCTGAGAATCTGTGACAGGCCCAAGGTCGCCCCCCAAGTCTCCATGGTGGAAGTGGGGGTTTGAACCCAGGTCGCCCAAGGTCCTAGTCCACCACTCTCTCCACTATACCCCATTGGCTCTCACAGAATTACTAGGAAGTACTGTGCAGCAGTAAAAAGAACCTTCTAGAACACTGCTTTAGAAAGCATTCCATCATTTTTCTTAAGAAACAAATATGTAACAAGATGGTTTTGTGATTTCAGATGGTCCCTCCAAAATCTGGCCTTTTCTTCCCACAGGCAACATTTGGCCACGAAACAAACCACCAACACCTGTACCCATCTGGCGTCTCTGTTCTACTCACCATCGCTCTTCCAGACACTTCATGACACAGCTCTGTGCCGAGATCAGCATGGCGAGGGTAACGTTACGGGCCTTCTGTATCTGTCGGATGATATCATCGTCGCACTGCAGAAGCCTATCTGGGG